GGCTGGGCTGGCGTCAGCAGGAGAGCTGCCTGTTCCAGAGCAACCGGCCGGTTTGTTTGCAGGGCTCCAGACAGGGTTGCATAACGTGGCGAGGTCTGGCTTGGGCTCTGGGGAGGAAGAGACGGGGACAAAGGAGAGGACTCTGCACCTCCTGCTGCCTCCCCTGCCCAGCGGGCGATTGCAAATTCAGTGTTACCACTGCTCTGCTCCTTTCACAGCTCCTGGGGCCGGGTCTATGCTAGTCACTCCTTGAGCTGTGCTTGCTCTGCAGACCTGAGACTGCATTGCTCACTCTAACCAGAACGTTTCCCTCCTCCAAGCAATCTTTATGCCTCCCCTCAAACTGATGTGTGGGTTTAGAAAGCATCCAGCATAATGCTAGATAGCAACTCTGCATCTTCCCAGTGTCTTTACAGAATCACAGACTGGTTGGGGTTGGAAGGGACCTCTGTGGGTCACCCAGCCCAACCCCTGCCCAAGCAGGGTCACCCAGAGCAGGCTGCCCAGCACCGCGTCCAGGCGGGGCTGGAATATCTCCAGAGAAGGAGACTGGAATCCTGGCTCCGTTGCCCTTTCCTTTAGGTGCTGCCCAGCTCAGAGGCACCTCACTGCAATGGGGCCAAAGAGCTGAGGCTGACACAGGACATTCCACCAGAGAGGGAGAGAGAACAAGGCAGCGCAAGGACAGCAGTGCCTTGGAGCTTACGGGGAGGCTGCTCCCTCTGAGCAGACCGGGAACGGAGGGCCCTTACGGGCCAAGCGGGATCAAGTCAGGACAAAATGTGCTGCTTTAATTGCAGGTGAAACCACAGGTGCTGCAAAGGATCAATACCAGGGGTCAGAGGAGGCAGGTTAAGGCTAAGAGCTGAGACTGTTCCTGTCTAACAGCAAAGAGCCAGCTTTCCTTCTCCAGCCGGGAGATCCCCTGTAATTGCCATCCTGCAGACACCGAGCAGCAAGACCAGGGAAGCGCTACCGCACAAGGGCTCATCTTGTCAGAGGAACGGCTTCCTCCATATCCACCAAACCCAAGCGCAAATTTGAGAGCCAAGTGCAAGCCAGGAAGAAGCAGCAATCCAGACACTTGAATTTGCTCTCTGTTACAAATTACACCCACCCTCTGCTCTTTGAAAATCTATCCCCGCGTGTTTATTATAGAAACCAGTTGCCCTCTTTGTTGACAGCCAAATTGCGAAGGGCTGCTGGAACTGGAAGGTCCGTGCGGAGCCGCGGCCTCAGCTGAAACACTTGCACAACTCCCTTTCTGCGTCTAGCAACGTGAAGCTCTCATTAGGTCCTGCTGGGATTTGAACCTAACGCTTGAGAAAGTCTGGCTGTTTCGGGCGTGATGCTAAAACCACCCCCTCCAGCACCGCTGAGTACTCTCACTGTAGAGAAAGCACTTTGTATTAATACGGGCAGCAAGCCGCCAAGTTCCCAAACGTTTCCAATGCCAGAAAGAACACAGACGGTAATAATTAAAGAAGAGAGGCGATGCAAGTTCCCTTTTATCCCAGCAATGCTAGCTAGCCACGTTTTTCTATGCCTCTACTGCCTTCAGCTACCTGACTGCCAAGGCTACGAGCTACGTGCTTCCCTGGCTGCTGAGCGCAACGTTGAAGGTTATCTTGGGAAGGATTTTCCTTGAAGCATTTTGAGTTAAAGCAGCAAGAACGGCCCTGCTGCCCTGCACGAAAGGCCCTGGGGTCCGCCATGAAATGGCTTTGCACCCCGGTAAAACCGGAGCAGAGCCTCTCGGGGCTTGCGGAAGGGGAGTTCCCGACGCCGTGTTCCTGACGTGCACGTCCCGCGTAGCTGCTGGCAGGGCCGAGCGCACGCGCGGGCACACAAAGCCCGTGGGTTATCACGGGCAAAGAGTCAGAAAGGTTGGTTCCTGGCCGCGCTGCTGCCGCGCCGCGTGAGTCATTTCCCTTCTATCTATCTCGTGCGTTTCCCACTGGTAAAACGGACTTGATAACCACAGGTGTGTTTATGGGGTTTAACTCCAGAGTGACCACGAAGTGCTGCAGGATGGCAGGAAAGCGCCCAGCGCCTTGCTGGAACTGCCGGCCGCTCTCACGGGCGCTTAGCCCTGGGCTCTTCCTTGCTTTTATCTGTCAGGGTTTTGTTGAAGAAAACAGCAAGGGAAACCAACGCTTGGCCTGAGTGGGCCAGTGAACGGCCAGTGAAATCGTACTGGTGGTGGCACAGAGTTCTCATGGGGTTTTTTCTTAATCCCACAGGCTGGGCTGCACCACCTAGACCAGCAGCGATGCCTTTAAGCAACCCCTTACGGCCATCACCTTCCTCCCACTTTTCCACGAAGAAGAGAACTTCTCCCAGTGCCCCCAGCACAGCTAGGAACACCCCAGAGCAGCGCAAGCAGCAAGCCTCTTGCCTCTTGCCCTGCTCAGCGTTTGCTGGGACGGGGAATTATCCAGAGCTGAAGAGTCAAATGGCGGTGGTGGGGAGGGGGGTGAAGCAACCTGTCCCGCGGGCCAGGAGCCGGTGTCGAGGAAGCCCGCCGGCTTCGCTCCCCGGCACTGAGAGCCCTGCAGGGCTGCGTGCCCCGGCCAAACCAGCCCCAAAGCCCAGCTCTAGCCCTCGTTAACCGGCGTGCAGACCCCATCCCGCCCCCGAGAAACCCAGAGCCCCATCCGGCCAAGGCGCTGGGATCTCTCTTCCCTCCTCCGCGACTTGGGAGTCTCTCTCCCCCTCTCCCCCGGCTTCGCTGGTGTCCCCCTGCTGACTGAAGCTGTCATTATCAGCTCAATAAATCTCTGGCGCGGGTTTTATTGAATCACTGCCTGAGGGGGAACAAGCCTGTAAAGGTTGAGGAGAGCAGAGCTTTCCCACGCCTAAGACACGCTGCCGGAGCTCTCGCACACATTCCGGGCCTGCCAGCGCTCCGCAAATGTTTGGACAGCCTTGAACAAATAACACACCTTTAAAGAGGCCAGCATGAAATTTTTCCTCACCGCCCAGCCGCCCTCCCACCGCCGCTTCCCCCCCATCCCCCAACCCCGAACGCCGCAGCGCACGGGTGTGCGCTTGTGCGGTCGGTGGGTGGCGCCTCCCCAGCCGTATTTTGTGGGAGTAATTCTGGCCTCGGCCGGGTTGCTTGACTCCGGGCGGTGGGGGAGGCGGGGGACGGGATGGGACCGAGCGTGGAAAAGGGAGGAGGTTTGGCTTTTCTCCTGCCCAGATTTCCTTCAGCAGGTAGGAACCAGCCAGCAGGGATTTTCTGCTGACGGCGTGCCAGGCTGCGGTGGTAACCTCTGGATGCCAAGACTTTTTTCCGCCGAGCCCCGTCTGCCTTGCGCGCTGGTGTAAGGTTCCAGCGACAGTCTGCTGGGCCTGGCACACTCCGCTTACCCGCAGACCTCCTCTAATTAACGCAGCGGCTTCCTTCACACAGCCCTGCTGATGTGTCCTGACCCTGACCCGAAAAGAACTTCCCTGGGGCACGAGGGTCCACGTGCGGAGGTGGAAGCTACAGAATCACAGAATCACAGAGTGGTGGAAGGGACCTCTGTGGGTCCCCCAGCCCAACCCCCTGCCCAAGCAGGGTCACCCAGAGCAGGCTGCACAGCACCGCGTCCAGGCGGGGCTTGAATATCTCCAGAGAAGGAGACTCCACAGCCTCCCTGGGCAGCCTGGGCCAGGGCTCCGTCACCCTCAGAGGGAAGAAGTTCTTCCTCGGGTTCAGCTGGAGCTTCCTCTGCTTCAGTTTGTGCCCGTTGCCCCTTGTCCTGTTGCTGGGCACCACTGAACAGAGTCTGGCCCCATCCTCCTGACACCCACCCTGCAGATATTTATAGGCATTTAGAAGGTCCCCTCTCAGCCTTCCCTGCTTCAGGCTAAGAAAGCCCAGCTCCCTGCTGTTTCTCTGCGACGCGGTGATGCTCCTTGGTCTGCCCAAGTGGTCTCCGGAGGGGTGCTGGGCTCCGTGCTTCCCTGGAGACAGCCCTGGGATGCGCGCAGCTAGCTTGCACGTGGGGCACGGAGACGATCCCGCGAAGCAGCCAAGTTTGCTGGGGGGGGTCTGGAAAGCAGCTTCAGCAGCTGGGCCAAGAAGGAAGGAAAACACGGATGTAACAGCAGCATCCAGCTGAGAAAAGCGCAGCGCGGCTCGCTCCGACTCGGGGAGGCTTTCTTCTGTCTTCCTGAGGAAAAATAGCATCTCTCTCCGAGCTTTTCCCTCCGGCTCGGCACAGCCTGCTGCCGCGGGAGCTCCAGCTGGGAGCAGGGAACCCTGAAACCGCTCGGGCTTAATCCAAGCCTGTGGTAGGCAAGCCCAGCAGGAGCACAGGTCCTGTTTTCCCTTTCAGCGAGACGAAGCCCAGCTGCTGGTGTTTCCCCGTCGCGGTGTGCAAGGGGATAACGCCGGGATGGGACCGTGCCTTGCGTGTTCTATGGGCGTAACAGGAATGCATTCGTGGGGCAAAAGAGAAACTTGGAAAGGCTTAATAGACCAGCCAGCTGCCTGCCTGCTGAGTTCTGGGAATGTAAAACACTGCAGCCATCTCAACAGCTCCTAAAATTCCCCCCGACTCGTTTCCTGTAGCTGGTTTCCCAATGCTGAAAGGCTTGGGCTCCCGTGGATAAAAAATTGGAGAGAATCCAGAATTTAGATTTCTGCCTACTCGATCTTTCCTGTCAACGGATCATTAAATAAGAAGCAGAAACGCTGTATTTGCCATACGCTCATCACCAAAGAGCTAAGTGAAAATCCTGCTTTAGGAAACGAGTGACAATTAGTTTGATGGTTCCGTGCTCCTTAGGTTATGTTGTCTGGCTTAACCAAGTCGTCGCACACACAAGGTAGCGAGGCATCAAGGTCATGCCTGCTTTGAAGGGAACAGGATGAGCAGAGCGTAGCAGGAGCTGCAAAGATAAAGGTTTAGCTCTCTTTGGGGAAATAAAGGCATGGGATCCATCCACACGCGAAACAAGGATGCTGCAAGTCACAGTGGCACAAAGCAAGCTGTTGCACGTACCAGTTGACAGCCCCACCTTGGACATGCTGGTGAAGGAGCTAAAAAGGGAACAGGATAAACACCAAAGTGCAGAAGTACGTTAGCTGACGCATGGAAAAGCTGGGGCTAGATGGCAGGGGTGAAGCAGATGAGCAGAGTCATGCGGGAGGCACGGGCCGGGGCGTCTGCTCCACAGAGGCACCCGGAGCACCGGGCTGGCCGGGAGCGGTAGAGCCGGGGCACTGGCGGGACAGAACGAAGGTTGAGGTGCGATGGGGAGCTCAGTACAAAGTTCATTGCTGCCACGCTCATAAACCACAGATAAGGAAGCGGAGAAAATCTGCGAGATGGATTTAGGTTCCACTGAAATGTCCCCAGTTTGGGGACTTGTGGAAGCGGGGGGACAGCTCGTGCAGCCTTTCCCAGCTCCCCTTTAGTCCGCGGTGGATTTACAGCCTGACCATTTCAGGGTACTGTTACAACCCAGTCGGGTGCTGCCATGGCCGGTGGTATAAAACCCTCACTGTCTTGCTATGCCGTGAATTTCCTCACTGGCCTTTACACTCCTGAACTGCACCAGGAACACCCGAGACGCGTGGCGATGGGAACACGTGCGTGTGGCTGCTATCGGCGCTGAACAAGAAGTGCTAACGCCATCGGGCAGGAGCTGCCACCCAAACAACCCGCAGCCGAGCGGAGGAAGCCACACGTCCCTCCGGCCGAGTCAGCACGCTGCCCCCCACACCCCATCCCTTGACGGGATGAGCTCCATGTGCCCCAGTATGAGCTGTGTGTGCCCCAGTATGAGCTGCGTGTGCCCCAGTATGAGCTCCATGTGCCCCAGTATGAGCTGTGTGTGCCCCAGTATGAGCTGCGTGTGCCCCAGTATGAGCTCCATGTGCCCCAGCATGAGCTGTGTGTGCCCCAGTATGAGCTGCGTGTGCCCCAGTATGAGCTCCATGTGCCCCAGTATGAGCTCCATGTGCCCCAGTATGAGCTCCATGTGCCCCAGCATGAGCTGTGTGTGCCCCAGTATGAGCTGCGTGTGCCCCAGTATGAGCTCCATGTGCCCCAGCATGAGCTGCGTGTGCCCTGGTGCGGGCTGCGTTCACAGCATCCCTGAGGAACTGCATCCTTGGTTCCTGCCCCGCTCAGGAGGGACCCTGGGTGGTACCGGTGATGTGAGAAAGCCCCGGGTCCTGTGCCCCGTGAGCGACGGAGCCTGTGCTGGGGTAGATGGGCTGAATGGCCAGGGCCCGAGGGCTGCAAGGTCTTCTCCAGGATCACTTGTAAGAGATTTGGCTGAAGTAATCAGATGCCAAGAGCCGGGGTCCCGAGGACCATGCCCACCAGGGAGGCTTGTGCCGCTGGCGATGCCCATGCTGGAGCGGGTATGCCCTCACCCCCCGACAAGGACCAGGAGTGATGTGCTGCCAGGCAGGGGCTGGCTGCAGGGCTTCCAGAGCTGTTGGTCTTCTCTCTCGCCCCTCGCTTCGTGAGCCCTGTACCTGGCTGCGTTCTGCTTTGCTCTGTTTTAAACCTTGCACGCTGGTCTGACTCCCAGACTGGTTTTTGCAGTGCAAGGAACGGGCTGCCCTCTCCTCACTTTCCCCCTCAAGTCTAGCGAACACTGGCCTTCACTTGCAAGCGCTAAGAATCTGCCATAGGTTTGGTTTCATGTTTGAAGCCTCTGTAAAGGACCAGGCAGATGTCTTAGTGGGGACGAGGGGGTTAATACTTCCTTCCTCTGCCGGCATGAGGAGGGACCCGCACAGGGAGCCTGTAAGTTGCTTTTGAGTGATGATGCAGAGTGGAGGTTGGGCTGCTTCCTTCCGAGCCGGGGTTTGGAGCATCCCAGAAACCACCCTGGGCTGAAACTTGGAAGGTTCAGACAAGGTCTCGGTCTGGTTAACTGGTGCAGCTGCCCCCAAAAAAAGCACAGGAACCACTAATTTACAACAGGAGGCAGACAAAATGGCCTGTTTACTTTCCAGCCTTAAATTGTCTGTTGGCGAAGTGCAGACCACAAAATGGGTGGCCCCTTTCCTGGAGAAACTGTGAAAACCTGCTTAGTTCCTGCGCTAGTAAAGCAAACAAACAAACACGACCCGGAGCTGGGTTTCAGCCCGCCTTGCCGCTCACCGGTCCACGAGAGCATCTGAAAACAAACCCACAAAGCCCAGCCTCGCTGATAAGACCCAGCCACGACCACGACTGATGGGAGAACCCAGAGATGCAATTAGGAATTTCAAATGTTTTAAACAAAGGGCAAAAGCAATCAGCAAAAGGTAATTAAAATGGATTAAATGAAGCAAAGTCATCTGAGCAAAATGCTGGGAACCGGTCCAGCCAGGGAGGACAGATAACTATGTGAAATGTGTGCTCGGAGTTTCTGCATTAATATTACTTTGCGCTTCTGCAAATCTTTGAGGATCTCGGAGCAGCCTGCAAGCAATTAAACCTCACAACACCCCAGGGAAGCAGAGGTTGTTGTACGCACTTACAAGGTGGCCGTACAGAGAGGGTAGAAGTGATTTACGCCGGGCCCACATGGCGAGTTAGAGGTGGAGTGGGAAATAAACCTGGGAGTCCTGAGTCCTAGGAGTTTGTTTTACTGGTGAGACAGGGGATGGTGCCACCTGAAGAGAGCATTTTGGCTTCCACAGTAGGCACAGTGCGAGTTCATTCCTCTAAGCCACCTTGTTTATTTTTAGCACCGAGGTTTATATCAGGAATGACAAATTTGGCTTTCACGCTCGGATGTGGCTAGGACAGGAGCAGCTTGCGACAATAAAATCTCCAGCACGCTGTGGCCGCCTCTTCCTCTGCCCTGCGGGGAGCTCTGTGCGGTGCGGGCTGCTGGAGCCGGGCACCGCTGGCCCGTGAAGCGTAGTGGGGAATCCACCGGAGACGTTTGCGTGGAAGGCTTTGACGTTCTGCAGTAACAACAGATAGAAGTGAAGAGAGGGATGTTTTGCTTGTCCTTGGGCAAAAAAAAAATATCCCTCCCGTATCTGTATTTAGAAAGCAAAATGTCGTTGGAAAAGGAGTCGGTTTTCTGGGATACCGGCTGATGCATTCACTCCAACCGCTTAACTTCAGCAAATAAAAGAAGGGTTAGAAAAAGAAAAAATACAAACCCTGAGGCTTCCCTCTTCCCATGGGACAGCATTGAAGCAAGGCATAAAGCGCTCTGCTTGCCGAGGCTCTCTGGCTCGGTGCGCTTTGGGCTGAGCTTCTTCAGGGGGCAGGCGCTTCAAACGGGGGGCCAAGAGGCATCGCCGCGGGGCCGCTCCTGGCGCGCAGGCCAGCTCGCTGGCTTCTTTCTAAAAGCCGTTTGTTTAACTGGCTGTCATCTTTATTCCAACACATCTGCTGCAATGGAGCGCTGGGCAGTGTCCTGTCTGCTGGGAGGGGGAGATGAAGCAGCAATTAAAGGGGGACTCCTGCTTCGACCTCTGCGGGGCGCAGCCGCCATCGATCGCTGGCTCGGGGCCGAAGCCCATCGCTGGCCGTGCGGGAGCTCATCTTTCTGCTGCGTCAGGCCGGGGCTGACGAGTTTCGGTTCCCCATTCTTTGAGTACCTTGAGGGACACAGAGATCTGAATCTCCACTCTCTTTGAAGATAGCTACTGCTATTTGCATCCGGCTCTTTTAAGAATTAGCATCCCCTGCCTAGACCTATTACACCTCATGTTCTCAGCGTGAGACTTGAGCATTTGGCCTCTGTTTCTTGCTCTCCGGGCTGCAGCGTATGCAGCCGAGCATGCCCTGGGTTGCACAAAGTGTTGAAAATCCCAGAGCTGGAGAAGCACCGTGGCTGCCAGCGTTGCAGGAAAGCCGACCGAACGGTTAGCATCCTCATCCTGCATCCCATGGGTACCTGCATGCCCCCATGAGCCGTCAGACTGCAGGGGCTCGGTCGCACAGGTCTGTATGGTGCCTCCAGCCAGGTGCCCAGACTGGAAGGAGCCTTGGGAACACATCAGCCAACATCTAGGAAAACCCCGAAGCAGCGGAGCAGGGCCCGTGCCGGGCGCGTTTCACTTACGCCTAGGTGATTCTCTGGCTTTGATTTCCACGTAAGATGCTCCGTGTGGGACTGTTGAGCACAAGGCAGGCAGTGAGCAGCTGTGATTAGATGGGGCAAGGATTAGGTACGCATATGCAACTGCCAGGATTAGGCGTTTGCTTGAATAACAAGGAAACATCCAGTTACAGTAAGCAGGATGAAGCATCGTGCTCGGGGCATGAACTAATCCAGCGCTCTCTGTGTGTGGGAAGACTTTTTTTGCTCCAGGGCAGTAGGTTATCCAGGAGAAGGCTGCTGTGCTGAAAGGGTATTTTAGGGGCACTCCATCCTCAGCAGCGCCTTGTGCTGCCGACTGTCAGAGGCAGGAGACGGCACTGAGCAGACCATTAGTCTTATCCAGCCTACCAGCTCCCTGTGTTTTGGCTAGGGCGTGCAGATAGGAATTAGCGACTGTGCAATGTTTGTTCTCACGAAGCAGGAGGGGAGGCTGACAGAGAAAGAAATACAGAGCAAGGGAAAAAATAGCAAGGGAGAGAAGGAAGGAAGGGGAGGGGAGATCTGCAAACGTAGAAACATGCATCGCGCTTTCAGGATGAGCTGGGCACAAGGGAGAAGTCCCGTCCCCCCCAACACCCTGAAATTTCAGCACAAATGATTTTGGGGAGGGGGTGCGCCCGGCTCTGCGGACCTTGGCAGGTCTGAGCACACTGAGCCCCGGCGTGCGCTGCGAGGGAGGAGAGCGGGGAGGCGGGGGAGGGGCTCCTCTGACACACGCTTTTTTTCTTGCCTTGCCCAGGCACGAAGCAGGCAGCCTTCGGCACAAAGAAAGTGGTCATTATGCGGCGGGTGCTCCCACCTCCCTCTCCCCGCTCTGCTCCCCTCCCTGCCAGAGCAGTCACAGTTCCTCTTTCAGTGCCTTTTCAAAGCACTCGAGCCACCCGATTCAGTGCTGCGTTTGCAGCGGGACGGGACGGGCTGGGCTGGGGTGGTGGCTGGGCAGCAGGACAAGGAAC